GTGAACACCCTTTGGCAATTTTTGTTTTGTTGACTTTTCGGCGTTGACTTACGTTTTGTCAACAAAACTTGGTAGTGTAGACGAGCCCTTAGAGTTAGAAAGATTTTCCTAATATCTAACCTCAATCTCCCTTGCTGCAGATTAAGCCCATCACTTGTCCTACCTTCAGTGGACAAGAACAATTGACCACCATCCTCTTTATCACATCCCTTAACATATTGGAAGACTGTTATCAGGTAGCCCTCCGAGTCTTCTTTTCTCAAGACTAAACATGCCCTGTTTTTTCAACCTTTCTTCAAAAGTCAACTCTTCTAAATCTTTTCTCATTTTTGTTGCTCTCCTCTGGACTCTTTCCAATTTGCCCACATCCTTCCTAAATTCTGGTGCCCAGAATTGAACACAGTACTCCAGCTGGGACAATTACCTCATGTGTCTTCATATAATACTCCTGTTAATATACCACAGAATCATATTAGCCTTTTTTGTAGCTCCCTCATATTGACAACTCATATTCAATTTGTGAGCCATTATAACCCTTAGATCCTTTTCAGCAGCACTACCACCTAGCCAGTTATTCCCCACTTTGTAGTTGTGCATTTGATTTTGCCTTCCTAAATGAAGTACTTCATACTTGTCTTTACTGAGTTTCATCTTGTTCAATTCAGTCCAATTCTCCAATTTGGCAAGTTCATTTTGAATTTTAAACCTGTGCTCCAAAGTCACTTCCCCTTCTCTTTGCCTCAATTTCCCCATCTGTAAAATGATACTGCTCTCCTTTGTAAAGTGCTTTGAAAAGGACTGTAGAAGAGGTAAGTATTATTAATTAGTTTTATTATTAAGGGAACCCACATCTTATACAATAAGACATGAAGAAGAATGAAAAGCAAACCAGAGTGTTTAAATGGCGTATGAAACAAGGGAAAGAATGAGAAACTTGTCCCTTCATGTATGCAAACTCACTTTATCATAAAGACTTGGTTTAGAGCTTAGTCTTCCAAAGCACACAAAGAAATGAAACAGGACGGTTCATTATCTAGTGTTCATCAACGGCCCACACTCAACATGACAGCAAATAATGCAAATATTTACAGCAGGAAATCCTCAGTAATGATCAGTCACCATCAAATGGCAGTTAACTTATCGAATGGTAATCCCTGCCATGGGAAAGACAGCTGAGGCAGCAGTTCTGCACCAGCACAACATTCAGAAGGTCTCTCCCAATAGTTAGCTCCAGTTTACATGGTTCTGCCCTGATGCTAAGTGTGTTTGACTAATGCCATGAGGGGTCTATGCAGACAAGAACTGTGGCACTAAAGTTCTAGAGGTTAGGTCAACAGCGTTTCTATGTATCTAGTATGTACCTAATGAATTCTACCAGTTTAAGGGAGAGGTGGATTCATCCTGAGGTTATACATCCATACACCACTTTTTGTTTAATTGTGATGGATCCGATCTGTGTCTTCAGACTGTGAACTCTTAGGGAAAAGGATTTCCTTTTTTGTGTAGCATGCTGTTCATTGTGGTGCCTGTTTATTTTAATGCAAAAGGGGCTAGACCCATAATTAGGTTAAATAGTTGTCACATTCTCAGCCTTTGCCACTAGCCTGATGCAGCTTTCCTGCTGCTTGAAATAACTGCTCTTGAGTGGCTTTAAAAACATGATTATTTAAATAACTGAGCAGAGCAAAAATTAACTGACAGAACAAATGTCCATTTTTCCAGTATGGTACCTGATGTAAAGACAAATGTACAGCTACAGCATTATGACTAAAAAACAGCAGCAACAACATACTGAATATTACAGATATCACCAAGTTGTTCTATTCTACTGAGTGTAACTCACACATACTATTATAATGAGCATGGCATAAATGTTTAGCTATACAGATCGAAGCTGAAACAACTAACTGGGGTCCTTATGCTGCCCTAAATCCATGTGTAGAGCTTGCACTGTGTGTGAATTGGGCGAAGGATATAGCTTTTGGATCCTAGATATTCAGACTCATCATGGTGACTCACAGGAGATACACCCTGGGAGTGGGAGGACTTTTAATTGGCGGATGAACTGCAGGGCATCCGAATCAGCAGAGGAAAATACAATAACTGGGTTGGAGTGTGAGGTGATAAGTTCAAAGGTAATAAAACATACACAGTATAAAAATATGAAGTCACCAGGTCTAAAGTACAGTCAATGGACACGTGAAGTAATGATGTCCAACTAGCATAGCAACAACTTCCTCTTTGAGGATCAGATTTTTTTTTTTTAAACTTTTTTTTTATAGAGTATCAGGGTTGGAAGGGACCTCAGGAGATCATCTAGTCCAACCCCTTGCTCAAAGCAGGACTAATCCCCAGACAGATTTTTACCCCAGTTCCCTGAATGGCTCCCTCAAGGATTGAACTCACAACCCTGGGTTTAACAGGCCAATGCTCAAACCACTGAGCTATCCCTAATATATATTTTGGTTAAATACTCTGTCAGCAGCATTTGTACTGAATACCACCTGGAAGGCTCTAAGACAATCTGCTTGGGATAGTCAGCATGTGAGTATGCTAGTTGTAAACACTGTATCCAGAAGGAAACCTGTATCCAAATGCCTTTAGATGGTCATACACTCTTGTGTGATCTTCTTTTCAAGCTGTGCCAAATTTAAAAAGTCTATTAATCTAAAATAAGCAGCCTCCAATGACACACTAGGATCCTGCTGAGCTCCAGAGACTAAGGGTGAAATTGTGACTCCACTGAAATCAATGGCAAAACTCCCATTGACTTCAAAGAAAGCAGAATTTCACAGAACTCTATCTCTAGTACCTATTTTACAGATAAGGTAGGCAATCTTCTCTGCTTAGGATTGTTTCTCACACTGCACTTGGGGTCTAGCCCACACTGCTGGTAAGACTCCCATTGACTTCAAAGGGAATAATTCCTGAGCAGGGACTTCAGGAACAGAAATCACAAGCAAAACAGAACATGAGTACAAGTCTTAGACCATGATCCTATTAGCTATTCCATGAGGGCAGAATGTCTGCATTCATGCTGCTGTAGGAGGATTGGGGCCTTCACTTGTATTGTGGCCTAGTTCATTGGCTGCTTTCTGACATTGGAACAGCAGAAAGCAACTGGATCAGACTGGTGAATCTGATCTGCTGAATTTAATTCATTGGCCAAGCGGAAGGGCCCTGCCCATCAGTCCTTGCTTGTATAAGTAATCTGGTGGACTTCAGTCAGACTACATATGAAGCTAGACAGTCACAGTCCTTACTTGGCCATGCAGGGGAATAAGGAGAGCAGGGCACTCTCATGCTCAGATTGTGACTCCAGCATGGCGTGGACAGTAGGAGCTACTCTCCAGATACACCTCACTGGTGAACAAATGGACAGGGAGGGGTTAGAGAGACAGGGAGCAGAATGATTCCTGGCTGAGCACATGCTACTTACCAGCCCGAGTAGTTGACTGCATACAAAATGGGCAGTAAGCTAAGTGAGGGGCAAGAAGGGAAGAAAACTTGACTTTCTGAGTCACAATTCATTCTCTGGTCTGTTCCTGGGTGGTGCATCTATGTGCTTCCCCTGAGTTGGGGCTGATGTAAAGTTATACTCCAACCCATGATGAGTAAGTGCAGGAGGATAAGATCCCGAATAGTTAATTGTTATTTCTGAAAGGCATTTCATGAGCATATCTTTTTCAAAGAGTGTATGTCTTAAACCTTATGTTGGTAAATCCTTTTCTCTATTTTTCCACATTTTCTTTAAACAAAAAAAAATCAGTTAACTGAAAATGAGAGAACTAGCTAGACTGATCTATTGATCTAATCTATCTGGGATCATTGGGCTCCTCAACCCCACAGTCTCTGCTGACACCAGCATTTCCAGCTCCAGCCCCAAATGTCTTTGTCTTTGAAGTAGACAGGGTGAGGGCTGTAACTTCTTTCACAACTCTGAGAAATCTATTAGTTTAAAATTAAAAAAACCCAACCCTTTCCAGACTGAATGAGCTTTCTGGTCTGTTAAGTTGCACTAGAAAGGTGTATGTGTGTTTTCAGTTCAAACAGCTGGTTTCTTTGAATTTCCAGTTTCAGCTGTAGCTACAGCCAATTTAAGGGCATAGAAGACATAGGGGATGGGGTTGAAGTTTGAGCTGACAGTGGTGGTTTCAGCAGTGATTGGAGGTATGAGGTTCACAGGTAATGGAGAATCTACACATTACATTTTTCTCATGCTTTTTTCTCTTTATTTGGGTGCATCAATATGGTAAGTCTATTGAGGTAAACAATGTCCAACTTGTTTGGTTGTTTTCTCCTACTTAGTATTAAGCTATTCTGTTCCATTATTATGCTTCGAACATATTATGCATTATTGTGTCACATACCATACAACAAACAGATAAGAATGTAAGAACTGATGATGTGTTACAACTTGTTGGTCTTTTTGACTCTAAACCTGCAAAGGATCCTGGGATATGAACATAAATGATTCTGGGGCATAGGGTGATGGTAGAAAATTGAAGTAGACGTTTTTGCGACCCGGATGGGAAAAGGTTGACATCCCCCCCTCTAGAACACAGGGCGTAGCCCCTGGTATTTAAAAAAAGACAGATCATGTTTTTTTTAAATCTATAATTACATTTGAAAGAAGAAACTTCATGATGTGTAAGGATGTGTGTGCTGTTTCTTTAAATCTGTAGCATAAAGTCAGTCAGGAGGGGCTGTGGAAGTACTGCATTCTCTGATTGTTACTAACTCTTATAAACTGAGTGTGTGTTACATAGTGTGTGTTACTAACTCTTATAAACCATGGCATGTTACATAGCTGACATTCCAGTTCCTCTCGGACTATCACAGGATTGATATCCCTTTAGTATATTCCAGAGAATTTAAGAGCAGAAAGTCATAATAAAAATTAACACAAAAATACAAAGGACAGGGAAAGAAAGCAATAAATTGCACAATAATAGCTGGAAATAGATAATAGAGAAGCAGAAAAGGCTGGAGCAACTTACGGGAGCAGAATTATTTTTCACCGTGACACTGGGGGTCGTAGCACGTAGTGCTCCACTCACTCCATGGTAGTATTTGAAGCAGATCTTTGTTTCAGCTAAAAAAGAAAATGATTTTACATTAGAAATATTACCAGGAAGAAGTTTTATAATCTGTTACACTTGGGACGCATCATGTCCACTCATGAGGGCTAATGGGCAGATGAATCGAAGCCATTTGTCTCCATCTGATGGTCAGGCTAAGATACTGCAGATAGCTTCAAATGCTGGTTTCCCATGTTGTCTTGCATGAGATATAAAAGTTATTTGGTCCCTATGTTACACGAGAGATTAATCATCAACCTCCTCTGAGCAGTAGTTACCAGTTGTGTAAAAATATGTCTAAAGTCTGCAAAATGTGATAAGGATTTCCTCAAACTAAAAACAGGGATAAACCCCTCATGATTCAGGGGCTAAGCCAACTATTAATTGATGAGGTCAGGGAGAAACTTCACTTCTGGGCAGGTTATTCCATATTTGTACATTATAAGATTTCTCTGAAGCAGGCTGGTTCTGGCCACTGTCAGAGATAAGTCACCGGATTAGACAGATGACTGGTCTGACCTGGTATAACAATTCCTATGTTAAAGCATTTTTCACAAACAGTGCTAAGCCATATCTTTTCTTAATCTATTTCCATTGATTTCAATGGGATTTGGATCAGATACTTAGGGACTTTGCTAGTACTGGCAGCATAGGGTTGGAGCATCCATTGGGCTGGAGCATCCACGGAAAAAAAATAGTGGGTGCTGAGCACTCACCGGCAGCCCCCTATCAGTGCCTCCCCCTCCCCCCAGAGCCTGTAACGGCCCTGTCGATCAGTGCCTTCCCCTCCATCACAGCGCCTCCTGCCCACCGTGGATCAGCTGTTCCGTGGTGTACAGGAGGTGCTGGGGGGGAAAGAGGGAGGGTAGGGCATGCTAAGGGAAGGGAGCAGAACGGGGCAGGAAGAGGCAGGGTGGGGGTGGGGCCTTGGGGAAGGGGTGGGGTGGGGGCAGGGCCTAGGGCAGGGCTGGGAGGGAGTAACCCCCTCTCCGGCACATTAGAAAGTGGGCGCCTCTGACTGGCAGGAACATTACCAAGCAATAATCTTCTAGGGATTAGCAGTGTACTCTTTCCATTTTTGTTGTCTCTCAGCTGAATGTACTAATTAAAAGAAGCCTATCTCGACTACTGAATCCAGACATGGAAGAAAAGAAATCAGCTTCTCTTTTAATGGTTGCTGTATGATCCATCACATGATCTATTACATGAGTGGAGTACCTTCCACTCATCCTGGAGCCCAAAGGATGGCTAAATTTTCTTGTCTTCCATTGGACCCAGATAGATACCAATATGAGCACCTTACAAATATGTTTTCACTGGACTGGAGAATACTGTGGTTATCCTCTGCCCTTCAGCAACCCCATACTGTAGTGGAATGGGCTTTTCAGGATCAGTTTTTCTTAATATCTTTTTTCCAACAATTACTTGACACAGTCCTTTCTACAGTTGTAGTTGCAGTGCTAAATGCTCAGATACAATGGTATTAAGGACCATATAAGTACACAGCTTTGTACAATGCAAGGTGCCAAAGTGGGAACAAAATAACATACTGCTTAAATCCTATCATACCTCATTCCTTCTCTGACTGTTTGGCCCAATCCGGCAAGCACTTACCACCAGGCATTGTGCTTACTGCCATGAACAGTACTTTTGAAATCAATAGAACTGCTCATATTAGCAAGCACTGTGCCCGGTAGCAAGTATTTGCAGGATCAGGCCTTTAGACTGTAAACTCTTTGGGAAACAGACCTTTTTTTCTATTTGTTCTGTACAGCGCCTTACACACTTCTGGGTCAAATTCTGCCATCTCTGTATACAGGACCCTCACTGAAGTTGTCAGGAGCTCTGTATGCTCTGAGTGCAGACTCTTTCATGCTTAGATTGCAGTGATTATAATAGAGATGACACCCACTTTCAAAGCATTACAGTTTCTCACCTGAACAAAGAGAAATCATTCTACCACAGATGTGTATTCAATGGCCCTAGAAACATCTCATGCCACAAACATCATATAATGGTGTCAGTGCTGTCTAGCACACAGGTACATGGGGCAAAATGGAATTCCAGTTCTGCACCAGACTGTTGGTACCTCCTCATTTAACTGTCTTGCTGCCAGCAACTGCTGCCATCTATGGGCCTCTATGGAACCCAGAAATGCTCCTTTAAGATACCACAGTTATGAGTGCTATACACATAATACCCATATAAATAAACAATACCTAAATGACAGTGTTTTAGTGCTACCGAGGCAGCAGTGTATGCCAGTAGCCAAATGGTTTAAAGCAATACAGTTGTGACAAAAGACAGGACATGTTAACATCTGACACTCTGGCCACAGATCACTACATTGTGAGTTGTGGTTGCTCAGCATCTCTGAAAATTAGGTCCTAAGTATTTTAAACTGGGCACCAAAAAAAATCGAGACACCAAAAGTAGAAGACACTTTTGAAAATTTAGTCCTAACTAAATTTTCTGCCTGATCGACAGAAAGACTGTGGTGCAGCCAGAAAAATGAATTAGGAGTAAAATTTTCAAAAGCACCTGAATTATTCAGGAGCCTAAAATATTCCATTTTCAAAAGTGAATTAGGCACTTAAGACCATAAGTCTCATTGAAAAGTCAATGGGATTTAGGTTCCCAAGTCACTTAAGATACATCTACACAGCAAGGAGGATCCCACAGCAGCAAGTCTCTGAGTTTGGGTCTACAGCCTGGACCTGTGCTATGGCATTAAAATTGGCTGTGTAGATATTTAGGCTCGGGCTGGAGCTCCAGCTCTGAATGCACTCCTTTCCGCAAGCTCCAGCCCGAGCCTGAACAGCCACACAACTATTTTTAGTGCTGTAGAGTGAGCCTGAGCATAGACCTGAGCTCTGAGGCTCGCTGCCACAGAATCCTGCTTGCTGTCTAGACATGCCCTAAGTCAGTGGCTTTTAACCTTTCCAGACTACTGTCCCCCTTTCAGGAGTCTGATGTGTCTTGCGAACCCCAAGTTTCACCTCACTTAAAAACTACTTACTAACAAAATCATATATAAAAATACGTGAGTGTCACAGCACACTATTACCAAAAAATTGCTTACTTTCTCATTTTTACCATATACACCTCTACCCCGATATAACACTGTCCTCGGGAGCCAAAAAATCTTACCGCGTTATAGATGAAACCGTGTTATAACGAACTTGCTTTGATCCGGCAGAGCACGCAGCCCCGCTCCCCTGGAGCGCTGCTTTACCGCATTATATCCGAATTCGTGTTTGGGTCGCGTTATATCGGGGTAGAGGTGTAATTATAAAATAAATCAGTTGGAATATAAATATTGTACTTACATTTCAGTGTATAGGATATAGAGCAGTATAAATGAGTCATTGTCTGTATGAAATTTTAGTTTGTACTGACTTTGCTAGTGCTTTTTATGTAGCCTATTGTAAAACTAGACAATTATCTAGATGAGTTGATGTACCTCCTGGAAGACCTCTGAGCACCCGCAGGGGTATGCGTACCCTTGGTTGAGAACCACTGCCCAAAGGCACTTTGAAATCTTTACCAGGGTCTTCTGACTCCCCCTATACTATAGCTAGGAGACCATCCTTCCCTCTTTACATTCTTCCCTGACTACATACAGAATTCCCTCAAATTAACAATCACATCACATATGTACCTTAGTGACTTCAAAGGCATTACTGGAGGGCTTAAAGTCGACCACATGCATGTATGCAGGATTGAGGCCATAGTTTTAATAGGACAATTTTAAGAGTTAATAGACCTGCCACAGTATCCCTGACTCTTGATCATTGGAACAGCAGTGAGATAGTCATTTATGTTGAAGAGCTATCACTTATGATGTATTTGGGAGCAGTAGTTTTTATTAGAGAGTGTTAAAGTGGGGCTGAGTGTATCGCCCTGAAGAACTGCAAATCCAGACTGAATTCTCAATTTGTAATTTTCTCTACGGGATTTTTAACAGCTCAGCAGTAAAACTGATTACTTACTGAGCAGACAGCAAAAGTTGATAATATCACAATAGAACTGCCACACATACAAATAGGATACCAGTTCTACAAATTATTCAAATTTTGATTTTTCTCTCCCCTGGAGACTATTACATACAATTTGTATGGAACATTTAGAGGTAGAATAAATAAACGTTTTCTATTAGCTCATGAAAAATAATTTTCTCCAGTAGTTTGTATGATTATGATCAAGCTTTCATGGCAGGGAACCTGGCTTTGGTTACCTAGCATTAAATTTAGTAGGCAGTCAGTTACCATATACATCGAGGATTCTGTCGTAAAATTAAAGAGACACTGTCAGGCTTAAAAGGAATTGTATACGTATAATTAAGCAGGCCAAAAAAGAATTTGAAGAGCAACTAGCCAAAGACTCAAATACTAACAGCATTTTTTTTAAAGTACAGTACATCAGAAGCAGGAAGCCTGCTAAACAATCAGTGGAGCCACTGGATGATCGAGATGCTAAAGGAGCACTCATGGAAGATAAGGCCATTGCAGAGAAACTAAATGAATTCTTTGCCTCAGTCTTCACTGTAAAGGATGTGAGGGAGATTCCCACACCTGAGCCATTCTTTTTAGATGACAAATTTGAGGAACTCTCCCAGATGGAGAAGGTTTTGAAACAAATTTGATAAATTAAACAGTAATAAGTCACCCGGACCAGATGGTATTCACACAAGAGTTCTGAAGGAACTCAAATACGAAATTGAAGAACTAATAATTATGGTGTGTAACCTATCACTTAAATCAGCTTCTGTACCAGATGACTAGAGGATAGCTAATGTAACACCGATTTTAAAAAAAGGCTCCATAGGCAATCTTTCAATTAGAGGCCAGTAAACCTAACTTCAGTATCAGGGAAGGACAAGACATTAGAGATGGGAAAGATATGTCAGGTCACGTAGTCCCCACCACCATCACCACTATCCTGCCAGAGTAGGATTGTTCCCAAGGGTATAATTTAACGTCCCTTCCCTTTTAAATATCATCTTTCCTTGTTG